CTGTCTGAAAGAAGACATTGAGTTTAATTTCAAATGCTTAATATGCCAGTGCATAATTTCTTAATATGAAACACCTGCTTTTGTATGAAGAGTAAGGATGTGGGCGTTAGATGATGAGAACTTGTTTCATTCTATGTAGTATCCGCAGCTCAGGACTGGTAGGTTTTGGTGACTTGATTCAAGGAGGTGGCAGGAAATTTGAGTGCGAAACCTAGTGATGGCTTACTCTGTATTGCTTTGGAAATTCTATGAAGCAATAAAATAAAAACACGGCCTGAAACATCTAATACTATCTTATTTCCCTTTGTAAAATAAATACATACCATAGCTTAAAATACCACATTTATTTCTATGATAAACAATAGGAAACTGAATTTGAGCTACTATAATTAGTTCTGACATTGTGAGACTCTCCCTTTATGCTTTTGAAAAACGATTATTAATAGAATGATTGTTTAGCATCTGGGTAGAAAGCGTGGTTTCTATCTCTAGCATGCAGAGAAACACAAATAAACAAATCAAGAAAGAAAGAAATGGCAAGTGAGTTATGGATGCCTTCATGATGTTATATGACTTGAAATACTGGATCTGGGAGTTTCTATCATCACCCAAGTGTCAAGTCCCACCCTTTAAGAGACAGATTGCAAAGTTAGGCAGTTAATCTTTCAATCTGAGGAAAGCTATAAGCTATAAAACGCACACTGAACCCATAGCCAGGAGAGAGCAATTAATTTCTGAAATCGATTATCAGTTATAGCATTCAATTCACCACTGTATTTGGGGGTTGCAGTTCATCTATAAAATAATAATGAAAACAGGGTAACTTCAAAATATCCTCTTTTTTAATGGGTATATGTTTTGATTAAAATGATTTCATTTTATGAATTTAAAGAAGCCACAGTGGTGTAGGATATACAGGTGAGTTTTTTTAAAAACTAGGACATTTGTCCTAAAATACTGTATTACTCCCACATGAGAAAGAAATTTCCTTACTATTTTAAACAGTAGAGCTCTAGAGAGACCTAAATGTTCATAATTAATGTAGTTGTGGTCACCTTATCTATATTTTATAATAGTGTAAAGTAGAATATCACAAAAATTGTCCATTATCAAAATGTGAGAGTATCATTAAAAGTAAATTGAAGACAAATCTGCAAACATTTTTAAAA